GGAAGGGCGCCAGGCCAGGCCCATAGAAGCCAGCGCCCGCGGGAAGGAGCCCACCCCAGTCCCATCTGGGCACGTGCACAGACTCGCCCGCCGCGTTTGTGGGCACGATTTGCTGGGGCGACGCCAGCCGGCACCGTTAGTTGGCAGCAAAACACGCCCTGCCACAGCAACCCAGGAAATTGGGCAATGGTGGCACCAGCACGGGCACACGTGCCCTGCAAGCACAGATTAGCATTCTTGGTTCATCCCTGTAAAGTATCAGCCAGGACTGCAGGGGCTGCAAAAGACCCCCTGCCCCCTCCACCCCCCATAAGAGATACAAGGCTTTGCAGTGGGGTATTATATTACTGGCTCTGTTATTTATTATAATACAAATAGGTGGGGTTCTTTGATACAAAACACTTAGAAATAAGATAGAAAATGCCACCCCCTGCCATTCTCGAAAACATCCAGGCAGTTTGCTTAGGAGAAGCATTCCTGGACTTCTCCGCCTTATCCATGCTCACCCGAGGTGGGGGGGGGGGCAGGCTGAGAAGCCACTGCAGTTCCGCTTTGGCTGGGGGGTTGAGGAGGCCTGGTAGCCAGGGTACGAAGGGCTGCTGCCCTTGATCCGGGCAGAGGAGGAAGGCAGCTGCTTTCAACAGCCTGGCTGAAGCCCGGCTGCCACCTGTTCCTTCGTTTGTTTGTTTGTTTATCCATCCTGTTAGCTAAATAAAGCACATGGCAGGAGGAGCAGGCTCTGGCAACCCCAATCCTTCGCTGCCCCTTCCAGCTCATGTTGTACAAACTGGGCCCCCGTGCAGTCTCCTTGGGAAAATGCTCAGCCTTTTAGTTCCTGAACTGTGACCCTGAGGCACATGTCCTAAAGAGATTATTTACAATTCTTTACATCTTGGAGGGATTCTCCCCCCTTCCCCCACTAGGCTTGAATTACGTGAGGGGGGCCTCTCAAGGCCCAGCATCACCACGAACTGTAAGGAAATGTCCTGCTTTGCCCCTCCCTCTGTAATTTGAGCACTAGTACCCTGCCACACCCATAACTGGGAATAGGTAAATAAAAGATTAACCTGAAGGGCTTTTCTCCACCCCAGCCAAAACTGGGGGGGCACCTCTTCTACGGTTACCTTTCCACTGAGGACATCCACCCACCTGCCACAGGCCCATTAAGTAATGGAGGAGAAAGGTTATTCCCTGCCCCCTGCCCCTCAGAAGAACAGAACGCAGGGCATGGGTTCATGGATCTCACCTGTAATCCAACCTCAAGGGGGCTGTAGTACTCTAACTCTAACCCTGTTTGTGGACCCCCAAGTGCACAGCATGTCAGAAGCGTGCTCACCCTTGGAAAGGGCTAGCTGGGGTCTGGAGAGGAATCGGCTGGCTACATCAGAGGGTTTTGCCCTTGCCCCCACTTCAGGCCTAACCACGGGCAGTGTTGGGGAGCCGGGAGTGCTAAGCACCTCCCTAGCACGCTCCACAAAGATGCCCTCTCTTGGGGGGGAAGCTGCTCCCCCATTTTTGAGAACAAGGAGAGGACAGCTGCCCTGGAGAGGAGGCGGCCAGAGGAGAGAGCCCGCCGTGCCAAAGAAGAAGGGAGATGTGCTGCTGCTGTTCAAGAGCGGAAGACGACACAGGAGGAGGAGCACAAGTTGCCGCCGCTGCTGCCGCTGCAGGAGAGGGTGGGAAGCACAGCTGGAGGGCAGGGCAGGGCAGGGCAGGGCAGGGCAGGGCAGCAGGGACTGCCGTCTCCCTCCCTCTCTGGGCAAGAACCCCTCTCGCTTACCCTGTTTTCCAACCTGCCGCGCATTCCTGGCACGGGGAGGAAGAGGAACCTGTTTCCTGCTTCCCCAGCGCCGCCAGCAGGCAGTGATCTGAGCAGAGCAGGCCTGCCTTGGAGCTGCAGAACTAGCTGCGCCTGCTTGGCCCCCACCTTCCTTTGGGGGCAGCTCTCCCAGCCCCCACTGGCTGCTTTCCAACGCTGCTACCCCGCCAGCTCTCCCCAACCCAAGAATTAGCCCAGCCTAGCAAGAGGGGGGTGCATAGGGGGCCTCGAAAACAGGGATCACAATTCTATTTCAAAGGTTTTCTGCCGGTCACCAGAAAAAGGGTTGGAGGCCGCGGCAGGAGCCTTGGACTCCAGAGCAGCCCACTGGGCTTCAAATGGGTCGGGGGGCTCGGGGTGGGGGGCCGGCACACCTGGCTGACTTTGCTCAGGGGGCCAGACAGTCCCGTTGGCTTTGAGCCGAGGGGGGGCCAGGAGGGCCTGAGGGAAGGGGCCGGCCTTGACCCCCAAATTTCTGATGGGAGCTTGTGTGGCAGAGCAGAAGGCATTAGCCACCATTTGGGAGGGTGTGATGCCAACCACAGGCACACTGGGCAGGGCAGGGAAGGGCACAGCTGGTGCGTAGGCAGTGCCCACGGGCACAAAGGTGGGTGGCATGTGGGGAGATGCAAAGATGCCTGCAGGGAGGGGGGCTGGAAAGCCGGGCAGAGGGGCAGGGGCCGCCAGGGGTGGTGGCTGCTGCTGCTGCTGCTGCTGCGCCTTGGCGGCCTTGGCCACCTCTTCCAGCCAGCGCTCGGCCTCTGATGGTGTCCGCTTGTGTCCCGGCTGGAACAGCGGGCTGGCAGGGGGGTCGTTCCAGGAGGAAGAGGGCCCTGGGAAGAAGGTAAGACAAAGGTCAGCCCAGCAACCCCTCCCCACAGACAGGCAAGGCCTTCAGAGCTCCCCAGTGCCCAGCGCAGAGAAGGCACAGCACCCTGGGCGTACCTGTGCTGCCCCCTTCCACAGGCATTACGGCTGCGGGGGGCTCTCCGGCCGGCTGGGCGAGCGATGCGTCGATCTGAGTGCAGAGAGCAGAGATGCCATCCGAGTCCCTCCTGGGAGCTGCGTCCACCTCTAAGACTGGCAGAAGGAAGGGGAGGGAGGCATCCAGCTTTCAGAGCAGCTGGTTGCTCGGGGCTTCTGCCCGCTGGTTCTCCTCCCGGCAGAGAAGGGAGGTTCTGCCCCTCCTCTCCTGGACCCGAGAGCTGCCCTGCCTGAAGACTGGCCTCGGCCAGCCACTCGTCCCTCCCTGCCCCCCACATCCAGCACCAGCAGCCATGCCAAAGGGGATGCCCTGCGGGCCCACCTTGGGCCTCCCCGCCTCACCTGCGCCCTCCGAGTGCCCCTTGCGCTGCAGGGTGGAGGGCAGCTCGTTCAGGCGGAGAGAGAGCTGCCTCTTGAAGGGGGAGTTTTTCTGGCTCAGGGTGGGGAACCCTCGGAAGGAGCCCTGCCGCACCAGCTGCTCCAGGGGGGCATGACGGCGTGGGATGGCGTGGGCCCCCCCAGCCTCAGGCTTCTCCTCTGGGGATGTGGCCCCCTGTGGGGGGGAGGCGCTGCCGGGCTGGGCGGGGGCTGGGACAGGGGCCGAGGGGGCAACCACGGCTTCTGCTGCAAAGGAGGAA